GTGTGTAGACCGATGTTGGATCGGTCGGTGATCGTTTTCATTGATGATATCCTGGTCTATTCTAGGACCAGGGAGCAGCACGAACAACACTTAAGGGAGGTGCTGGAGACCCTAAAGGCGGAAAAGTTGTATGCCAAGTTCTCAAAGTGTGATTTTTGGCTGCGAGAGGTACAATTTTTGGGGTATATCATCAACCAGGAGGGTATTTCAGTTGATCCAGCCAAGGTTGAGGCTGTGATGCGGTGGGAATAACCGAAAAATGCATCAGAGATTCGTAGCTTCTTAGGTTTAGTGGGTTATTATTGGAGATTTATTCAGCACTTCTCCAAGATTGTTGTGCCATTGACCCGTCTGACCAAGAAGAATGTAACGTTTCGGTGGGGTACGGATCAGCAGTTGGCCTTCGAGACCTTGAGGCGGAGATTGTGCAAGGCTCTGATCCTTGTACTACTGGAGGGATTAGATGATTTGGTGGTGTACTGTGACGCATCGATTTTAGGGTTAGGTGCGGTACTGATGCAGAGAGGGCAGGTGATAGCATATGCCTCGCGACAGTTGAAGCCGCATGAGGCAAATTGCCCTACTCACGATCTGGAACTCGGGGCAGTGGTGTTTGCCCTCAAGATTTGGAGGCATTACTTGTATGGAATGCGGTGCACCATTTACACCGACCACAAGAGTTTGAAGTATTTGATGGACCAACAGAACCTCAACATGCGACAAAGAAGGTGGTTGGACGTGCTAAAGGACTATGATTGCGAGATTCTATACCACCCAGGGAAGGCCAACGTAGTGGCCGACGCTTTGAGCCGTAAGACGGCTGGTTCCCCGATTGGGAGTGTGTGTTTGAGGATGACGGTGATCTCTCCATTGTTGGAGATGATCAAAGAGGCCCAGGTTGAGGGAGTGAAGAAAGAGAATTGGAAGGTAGAGAGGATCCGAGGACAATATCCTTTGTTTGTTAAGGATATTCATGGTCTCTTGACGCAGTGTGGCCGGGTGTGGGTACCGGTGACCGGGGGAGTGAGACAGAAGATATTAGAGAAAGCGCATAATACATCCAGGAGCTACGAAAATGTATAGGGACTTGAGGCTGAGTTATTGGTGGCCATGCATGAAGCGGGAAATTGCTTGGTTTGTAGAGCGGTGCTTGACTTGTAGGAAGGTCAAGGCCGAGCACCAACGGTCTCATGGTAAGGTCCAGCCGCTACCCTTTCCCATGTGGAAATGGGAGGAGATCACAATGGACTTCATTACGAAGTTGCCAAGGACGGCGAGGGGTGTGGATGCCATATGGGTGATTGTGGATAGACTGACGAAGAGTGCCCATTTCATTCCGATACCAGAAAGTATATCCGTAGAGAAGTTGGCAGATATTTACGTGCGTGAGGTGGTGGCTAGACATGGGGTTCCTGTGTCGGTAGTCTCTGATCGTGATGTTCGATTCACATCCAAGTTCTGGAAGAAATTCCACGAGGAGCTGGGTACTCAGCTACATTTTAGCACGGCGTACCACCCCCAGACCGACGGTCAGAGTGAGAGAACGATCCAAACATTGGAGGATATGCTGCGGGCATGCGTGTTGGATTTTGGAGGGAGTTGGGATATGTATCTCCCGCTAGCAGAGTTTTCGTACAATAACAGTTATCATGCCAGTATCGATCGAGCCCCGTTTGAGATGTTATATGGTCGGAGGTGTAGGACCCCGGTTTGTTGGAATGAGGTTAGGCACCGAGTCATGGGGGAGCACTGAGGTAGTGCTCAAGACCACCAGATTGATTCAGCAGGTGCGCGACCGGTTGCAGGTCACACAAAGCCGTCAGAAAAGCTATGCCGACCGACAGCGATCAGATCTTGAGTTTCAGGTGGGGGATTTCGTGTTGCTGAAGGTGTCGCCATGGAAAGGGATCATCAGGTTTCGGAAGAGGGGCAAGCTGGGGCCTCGGTATATAGGCCTGTTCAGGATCACGGCCCGGGTGGGCAAGGTGGCATATCGCTTGGATCTGCCAGAGGAGCTTAGCCAGATTCACAACACATTCCATGTGTCGCAACTTCGGAAGTGTGTCACAGACGAGGCTGCGGTTGTCTCGTTGGGTGATATCCAGGTGGACGAGAGCTTGAACTACATTGAGAAGCCTGTTGCCATATTTGTAAGAGTAAATTACACAAATAGTCCCTATGGTTTGGGGGGATTTGTGTTTTTGGTCCCTAACTTAGTTTTTTAACTTGGATGGTCCTTACTGTTTATTTTTGTTGCGCGTTTGGTCACTGTCTTACCTAAAAAGACTATTATGCCCTTATTAATTTATTTTTTAATTAGTTTTCTTATTTATTTATTTATTTTTTATATATTTAAAAAAAATTAATAGACCTCACATATTTGTATCTCCTCACCCACTAAAGATGATGAGACAATGTATATTATAGGGATGATCCGATCTGCAAGGACCATGATTGAGAATTGTTTGATCGTCTTTCTCTGAGGAAGAGGAAAAATAGAATCAACTTGAATTCGGGACCACTATTCGAAATCTTAGTGAAACACTAGATTTGTTATCTAATATCTGCTTTTCGTGAAAAAAAATACCAATTGAAGTGGAGGGGTTTTTCAAACAACAAGGGGCTGGGTCAACTATTAAATCAAATGATATTGAGCACTAAAGATGAGGAGATACAAATATGTGAGGTCTATTAATTTTTTAAATATATAAAAAATAAATATATATATAAATAAATAATTAATTAAAAAATAAATTAATAAGGGCATAGTAGTCTTTTTAGGTAAGACAAGGACCAAATGTGCAACAAAAATAAACAGTAGGGACCATCCGAGTTAAAAAAAATAAGTTAAGGACCAAAAACACAAATTCTCCCAAACCACAGGGACCATTCGTGTAATTTACTCTTACTTTTCGTTTTGTTCATATTTGGGTAACTATTTTTTTTGTACACATCTAGGTAACGAACTTGTTGAAAGTGTTCACATCTAGGATGTAACCTGCTACAGCCGGTCATAATGGTCATATGTAAACACTTTCAACAAGTTTGTTGCCTAGATGTGTACAAAAAAAAATAGTTACCCAAATGTGAATTTACTGAAAAGTTAATTACCTTCCCAACTCATTTTCCCATAATAATAAATGAATTTGAACTAACGGCGGACCCAGAGCAAAATATTAGAAGTAAAACATGTAATTTTATGGATAGCATTTAGAAAAAAAATCATTATGCCATAAAATTTATCAAAAATTTACAATGCGCCAAAAAAAAATTGAAGAGTAACATTGGTTATGCTCCTGGGCTCCTACTAAGATATGATGTTGTGAATGACGATATAAACGAACAAGAGACTATTCAAAAGTTAGAAGTTCCAAACCGATTGTATTATTAATGAATTTCCATACATTCTAACATGCTTTTGTTTGACCGATGATTTGGTTTAGCCAAACAATACACACCCCTAGAAATTATTGAAGTTGGCATTTAAACATATGAACTCATAAGAAAGTATTGTGCAATTAATACGTAGGACAATAATTGATTTCTTGATCAAGTACAATAAGAAAGTATGGTCCAGTTAATACAAATGACAATGATTGATTTACTCATTAAGTTATCAAGTACAAAGTCATGAAACCCCACAACAAAGTATGAACCATCAAAAAATTGTGGTTGTGTAGCTTGTCATAAAGTAGAAAGCTTGGCACAATAGTCGTGCAAGAATCGACAAACTGGTTATGTAGCCCCTTAAAGATGATACCATTTGGTTTTTCTTAATGTTGGAAATTATAGAAGTATAATAGCAAGTTGACTAAGTTGCCTCTAGAAGAAACCAAAGATAGGTTTAAAAGCTTTTTCTCGATAAACATTCAAAAGTTTCAAGTGGATCAAGAGATGGGCTAGACCCTCACATGTGCTCCTAGCCGATGACATGAGTATGCGAAATAGCAATGTTGGTTTTAATTTTATTGTTTCGTATTTAAATTCGTCAAATATTAGGACATTCTGCTTCTACTCATCCTCTCTAATAAATGAATGTTTTTTTACACTTGTCACATTCTCATTTAATTTGTCAAATTTCATTTTGTGATTATTTTGAATTAATTTTTTTTTCCACATTTCATTTTATGATTTTTTCTATTTTATTAAATTCCACATGTAATAATTGCAATAAATGTAGTAATAAATGAATATCAATTTTATTAATGAACTTACCTTTTAATTTTAAAATTTTCAAAATTAAAGCTCGTTAATTTCTTTATTTATTTAAATTTAAAAAATAAAAAACATTTCTATTATAATAATTCATTATTTTTCTTATTTTCTTATAAATTCAAAGTTCTCAAATATTTTGACATTTATATTTAACTTTTTTTTTAAATTAACTCATGTAATACATGAGTTTCACAAGTAGTTTCTTATAATAAGATCCGATCGTTAAAGATCATTTTGTTTTCTAAATGAAACTTGGTAACAATATTAATAATAATTGAATTTATTATTTGTAACTTCTCAACGTTTTATACTCAATATTAATAGTTAGTCATTTGCTTATATTAAAACATTTGGATATTTAATTATAAATATTATCTATCATCTGGTTTGTTTGAGATTACTAACTAATATGTTATTAGTTAATAATACTAATTATCAGATTGTTTAAAAATCAAGTCTGAATTCAACACGTAATACATAGAAATGTATCCTGTAATAAGAACCTAGTGATGTATCTTTAATTGCTAGCTTCATCGCATCACCGAAAAGTTCTCTTAATTATTGTTAGTTCTATTTCACGTCAATTTGGCTATATTTGTGTCAAAAGCAATAAAGAACTTGAAAAGCCTTCTATGAAGCCATGAAGCATAAGATTCAACACATAGTCTGAATTTTTTATAAGGAAACCCTTATGTGGCCACATTTTCACATAAATTAATTATTATGTGAAGTGTACAAAGCTAAGAGATTTGGAAGAACGAGTGTAGAAAACTAAGAGATTTAGGTATGGATATACATGCGTGTATGTGTTGTAGTTCCAAAATGATTACATTACGATGATACATTATTATAAATAATATAGATAAACTGCATCCATAAATCAATACATCTCTCTTTATCATCATGTTCAAATATTTTATTCTTCTAATTATAATAATCACACATTATGTCTATCTATAGCCATATGGATCATTATCAACGCATCTTTTTACCCTCAACTGAATTCTTCTTGGCCATTTTATCGAATAAACTGCCATCAAAGATACCTCTAATGGCTTCTTTTGATAGGTAACCTTCATCATCTTTAGCAAGAAGGTATGCAGTTCCCCATTCTACCTTGTTTATAATCCTGTAGTTGATTAAACTTATTCAATTAGCAATCGGATTAAATTATGCAAAAAGAATTTGTTTGTAATATATGTAGCACAAACCATCCGATCGTGCCAAATGTAACATGATTTCCATCCGTCAAGTTCCATAGCTCCTTCAATGTTAGTTTATCGGGCTTTGTTTTGCTGTATTTGCTAAATATATTTTCAAAATTAACTGGAAGATACCTGAAAAATGAAATTAATTGCAATGTTGATATTGTATTGTGCATAAAGTTCAATCATTAAAAAAAAATCTCTGTTAATTATACCTTGTTCCCAAGTGTAAAAATTAAAGAGGAAGAAGGAAAATGAAGGAAGAGAAACGGGTGAATATGGAAGGAGAAAAGGGATGTGATATATGTGTTTTTGAGTTTAAGAGGAGTGGAAGAAATATAACTGTAAAATAACATTTTTACATTTGAAAGAATCTATCAGCAATAAAGGGCCAAGGGTAAAAGCATTCTTTTTCCCTTTCATTTGTATCCTATAAAAAACCATAAAAACACTTTTTTCACTTTCAATCATGTCGTTTCCTCATTTTCTCTCTTAAGAAAAATTAAAAACAGGGTGTTCATGTAATTATATCAGACTTATCAGGTTTGGGCCTTCGGCCATTTCTGTCCGATAATCGGATGTTTCATATAAGATTTCATAACTTTATATTTTTATAGTACAATAGTTTTATTCTTTTTAATTTATATAATAAAGTAACTTTTACATGGACTATGGAACTATCTTTTTAAATATAAAATATACAAAATCTTATCTGTAATATTTTAGTCGATTTAAATATATACACTGATACACATAATTAGTGTTAAGGATCATTTTGTTATACAAATTAGTAAAAAGATAATATTATTTCATAATTAATATTTAGTCATTACAGTTATACAAATGACATGGCATTAACATGATATTTATATAATTCCGAGTGTATGAGAGTATAGGTGGCATGAGTGACAAAAGATCAAATTCTAAGATACCAATGTTTACATTATCTTTTATATAAGAATCACTATTAATGTTTGATACATAATATGTATTATGCTTGACATACTAGTAACTAATTTTGCATATTCAGATTTGATTGGAAGTTTCAAATTTCAACTTTCATATATGATCTCTTCAAAATATAAAATAGTACAAATTTATGTTTATGTATAGGAGTTTATTAGTAAATAAAGTACCTTCCTTCTGTGTCATACGTCCCAGAATCACTTGAATGCTTGCATTTATGAATGTTGGATATGTAAATTGGAAACAAAAGAGATGGTATGTAACCCTGCAATATATACAAAGGGTAGTTTCTAGTTATGATTAACTTCAAACTTTAATGAATATCTCAAACACACAACCATAAATTTATTAATAACCCAAAACAAAGAGAGAGGGGTTACATTAGTTAGGGTTTGTATTGATAAAAAATTTACACTAAACCGAAATTTTTCCCAAAAAACATTACACCAAAAAATCTGAAAGATTGTTCATACTACCATGTGCTCTATGTCCGGTCATGCCTAAAGTTCGATTAACGATTAACAAACAAAGTAAAATAAAAAATAATTGTTAATATATTGTTTTCATTGTAATCTAATCAATAGTATTCACTATCAAAAAAATATTCATTTACGATATGGATGTTGTGTTCGAACGGGATAATAAACAATACAAAAATTGTGTGTGTGTGTATATATATATATATATATATATATATATATATATATATATATATATATATAAAGAAAAACAAAAATATAAAAGTAAGGATAAAATGGTATTTTTAAATGGACTATGTCCAGTCCAATTTCTTTAAACCATAGGGATGCATAATGTTAAATTCCAAAGATTGGACTAAGAATACGAATCTAACCAAACTACAGGGACCAAAACTGTAATTTACTCTATAAATAATGTATTTTATTAGATTTTAACTTACCGGGAGAGATGGGTAACTAAATAGCAAATTAATTAAGATCGCATTGAGAAGAGAGAACAATATGTTGAACCCAAGCACTCGAAACCCTATAAGATTGAGAGGATCGTTAGATTTAAAAATAATACTAATAATAATAATAGTTTTAATAATAATAATAATAATAATAATAATAATAATAATAATAATAACTAGAAAAGATTCTCGGCGTTGCCGGGGTCGGAAGGTATTGCTTTGTAAAGTAAAGTAGCATGTTGGTTGCTTTTTGTCCGTTAATGTGAGGGTAATTTGGTCTTTTCAGGTAGTAGGGACTGAATTTGTCACCATGGGTAAACCATATGGACCATTTATGTAATTTTGGCGGTGGTGGTGGTGGTGGTGGTGGTGGTGGTGATGACAGATGGTGGGTGGGTTTATGGTATTGGGTGTGTATTTTCTAATAAATAAAATATTAATTTAAAACCAAAAAGAGAATGTTAAATCTGGTAAACCACAAGGACCAATCGTGTAATTTTGTCTAACAATAATAATAATAATGATGAGGGACCATTTCTGCCAAAAGAATAAATACTAATAATATGTAATAAAAGACGAGGGTTATGAAAAATTCAAACCAAAGTGAAAGGGTTGTTTGTGAACAAAAGCATAAAGATGAAGGGTCAATGTTGTAAGTTGGAGGACCAAAAATGACAAAAAAGGTGCAACTTTACTGTTAGAATTTTTCATAACTTTAATATATATATATAATAATAATAATAATAATAATAATAATAATAATAATAACCTGTGTGTCAAAAAAACATTTATTATAATTTTATATTATAATAATTCTAAACAATTTTATTAATCAATCAAATTGGACGGCAGAGTGCACCTACAAGATAATTAGTTGCTCATCAAAATTAACAAAAAAAAGTTATTAACTGATAAAAAAAATTGATGGTAGGTAGCCGCGTAGGGCCTCTATTTTTCTATACTAATCGACTAGCTTTTTATTACATAACGAATACGAAATCAAACGATTAAGAAGTAAAAAAGAGCTGTTTGTTTAGTTTGGGGATTCACCTTTGTAAGTCTCCCAAGGATAAACAATGCCATCGTTATCAAGATCGAAGAAGGAGGCATGTTGCTGGAGCACGCTCATGCCACGAGGGTTGTGATCTGGTGTGCCATCAGGATGTTCCATATCAGGTGCAACAAAAGCTCTAGCCAGGTCTTTTAAAGAACACAATTTAAATTAGTCTAGCTATATAGAGAAATTAACATTGATTCATCAATCATTAAGTTAGAAGAACTTACAAGGTTTGGGAATGGAGGTCTCAAGATCATCCCGAATTGGTCGTTCACTCGTTACGGGTGCAAGAGGTGCCACCGTTGCCATTGCAATGGGGTCATTGCTCACCTCCATGATTCTAGGTTTGAGGAAGAAAAATGAGATCACAATAGTATTTATCCACAACCACAAAATATAGTCATTAATTAGTATAAGTGTCGTGTGGGTAAAGTACCTAAAAGCGTGTCCATTTTTTTTTTCCAATGCACAACTAACATGAAACAATGGGCATATATGTTTATGGAAATTAGAGGTGACAAAATCTAACACGACACCAAACCCCTATTAGTGGTGGTTTTACTATGGTATCCGTAGTGGCACCAACATCTGTTTTTTCGGATGTAGCGCAAAAAATTTTGATTTTTTTCTACTATAATGACATTATTAAAATTTCCCGTGACACCCCAACTATGAAATCTTGTGTCCGTGTCTGAACCTGACACGAACTCAACACGAAATAAACGGGTTTGGGTAAGATATTTCAACCCGTTTAGATAAACGGGTTAAAATGACACGACATGACATGGAAATTAAACAGGAAAAGTCAGGGTTGAGAATTTCAACACGAATACGACTCGAAAATGACGTCTTTTATTTATACGCACTTTTTTTGAATTCTTTAAAATAAACTAGAAAGATTCAAATGAAAAAAACCTTTTGATTGAGTTATTTTGTAATGTGGTAAAGATTTAACCGTCTAGATCAAAACATCATTTTCAAGTTTTCGTTATCTCCCAAAATATACAGTCCCTTTCAGCTTGCAATCTATTCTGCCTTCCAACAATCACCTTTGCCTTTTCGTCTACCTAACTCCTACGCTTTCAACATATTTAGTGTTTCAACGTCACATGACACAACATATTTTATGGTATACCCTAACACAAAATCCGATACGAACTCGACACGTAAATTAAACATGTTGGGTTAGGGTCAAACACTTTCAATTCGTTTATTGTTTCGACATGACACGAACCGCACGACACGATCCGATTGCCACGTCGAATGGAAACTATAATACTTTATGTGTGTATATATATATATATATATATATATATATATATATATATATATATATATATATAGCGCTAAGTTCAGGCGTTAAAACTAAGTATTGTGTTATTGTATGCATCAATGTAGGTCAATCATTTCAAAATGGTAAATATGTAATCTTACATTTAATTAATTATGGTAAATATATAAATCAATTAATATCCCTTTAATTTAGGAATATCAGTTAATATCCCTTTAATTTAGAAATGGGTCGTGTTATCAAAGCACAGCGTAAGGGAGCAGGGTCCGTCTTTAAATCCCATACCCACCACAGAAAATGGAGATTACCCTCTCAACATACTCGCTTCTTCACCACATACTCGCCGCCCTGTCTCCGCCGTCGTCTCCAGCTCCACCGGCAAGTTTTATTCTTCTCCATCGTAATACACACACTAATCCGCAAGTTATGTAATTTGGCAGATTAATGGCGCAGGAACTGCTGAAACTTCGATTGGAATCAGTGAAGAAACGGGCAGTTTGTTGGAGAGAGTAGAGGTGTTTGATTTGAACGGGAATTCGATTTTGATTTCTAATTTATGGAAAGATCGGAAGGCTGTCATTGCATTCGCTCGTCATTTCGGGTATGCATCTGATATACCATCATATGTAATAGTATATTCCAATAAAATAATGTACATATTATATTTGTTTGTTATTAGGGAGTGTTTCATTATTATAGAATAAAATATAAAGTTTTTTTATTTTTTCAAGGACGTGATAGAAAAAATTTAACTTGTATCTAAAAATTTGTTTATTCTGCGAGAAGTAAGACTCTTTATTAGTTTATGGCTTGCATTTTCATAAAATATCATTATAAAAAGAATGTCATTCTGTCAGAATAAAACCGGGTATGATTAAAAATTATGTTAGAATTATTTAAACTAAATTAGTTTAAAAAAAATCAAAATTCAAAAATTAACATAATCAAAGATCCATTAAAATCTGTAAATTTCTTTTTTTAAATTTGGGTTTCCTAATTTTAAGGCAATGCAAATATACAATATTACCCTTCTTTTAATTAAATGATATTATTCTATTTTTCTTTTATTTAATAATATAGGTAAATTACTTTCTTAAAATAATAAAAATGATTGGCTTACATTGATGCATACAATAATACATAATTAGTTAAAATATAATAACCTAAGCCTATATATATATATATATATATATATATATATATATATATATATATATATATATAATATAGGGCTAGGTTAATGTGTTTCTTACATTTATTGTGTGCCACAATGCACCAATAGAAATTTAGTAAAATTAAATAATTATTTAATTAAATAAAGATAGATATTAAATGATTTCCATAATTGTATGTATATTAAATGATATCCATAATAAAAATTCTGTTTTTATGGAAACTAATTAAATTCGTCATTAATGTCAGCAATAACATTCTTTCAGAATGAATTCGTACCTAGGTTTTATGTATGGGTTTGTTGTTTGTTTCACGACTCACTCACTTAAAATACAATAAAGTTGTATGGAATATGAAGAATGAGAGTGTATTCTAGTATATTACACTCTCATTCTGCTAGAATACACTTTCATTCTTCTACATACGAATTCATTATGAAAGAATATTATTGTTGACATTAATGACGAATTTAATTAGTTTTCATAAAAATGATTTATAAGTATGGATATCATTTAATATACATATAATTTTTACTAAATTCTTATTGGTGCATTCTAACACACGATAGATGTGAAAAACATTTGAACTTACCTTATTATATATATATATATATATATATATATATATATATATATATATATATATATATATATAGTTAATGTCATAAAAACCCTCAAATTCTTAGGTTTTGTCGGTTTTGTGCAAAGTTGAACTTTATTTTCCGTTTTTACCCTCATATTTTCAAAAAAAAAATGTTCGATTTTACCATTTTTACCGGTGATAACAGGTTTTTCAGGTTACCATTATATTAACTTCAAAAAGAAAAAATACTAAAGTTTATAGTTTTTTTACGTTTTACCCCTAAGTTTATAAATTTTATACGCTTTTACCCTAACTTTTTTTTTCATATTATACGTATTCATGTAGAAAAATCGTATTTAATGTTAAATTAAATATTGTATTTACGTTTTTTTTAACGCTATTTCTTTAAGCGTGTGTGTATGTGTATGTGTGTGTGTGTATATATATATATATATATATATATAATATATATATATATATGGGTTTTGTGCATAGTTATACCATTTAAAACGTAAAAAAAAAAATTAGAATTATGAATACATATTTTATAGATATAGTTTCTAGAAGTATAAATACATATTTTTTACATTTTTAGAAATATTAATATGTATCTAGTTTTTTCGTTTATTTATTTAAATTATTTGTTTAAATTTAGAAGATAATAAACATTTCCTTTATAGTAATTAATTATTTTTTTTTATTTTTTTATAAATTCAAAGTTCTCAAATATTTAGACATTTATATTTAATTGTTTTTTTAAATTAACTCATGTAGTATATGGGTATCACAATTAATATATATATATATATATATATATATATATATATATATATATATATATATATTGTTTAGAAATATATCATTATCCATTTAAGTAGTTTATCTATACATAATGGGTAAAAAACATTTTCATATTCAAATAAAGAGATATCAGTTTATATTTATAATTAAGAATTTTTTTGTAAGGTTCTGTTTGTACTCAGTAGATTATATTATTTAACTTATCATTACACCATTAGAATATCTTTCAATCAAGAAAAATATCATTAATCATAATAAATGATGTTGACTATGAAATCCAACATGATATAAGTTCTACATTTGTGTTCATATGATGATATATACCATCCGAATTATTATTTTTATTTGGTATTATTTTATAAATTAAGAAAAAATTATTATATTTTTATTTATTTCTATTATAATTACCATGTAAATAAAAAAATGACTTAGATGCCATATCAGTGTTATACACATATAAATAAACAAATTCTATTATATTGGACCTTAGAGTGGATACTATATAGATTTCTATATAAACTAGAATGGAATCATTGCGCCGTTGGCGCTGTGGTGATGGAATTAAAATGCATGACAGATTTGCATAGGACTTAATGGAACATACCTTTAACAGAGTAGCAATAACACCATAAATAAATGAGATTGAAAGTGGTAGCATAGAATTTACATAACTCAATCGGTAATTAAGAACTTAGAACTATGTTCCCTAGAAATCAGGGGGAAATCAAACCATCCTGCTCTAAAAGTACAGACAAGCACGAACAAAGAAACACCAGAAATTTAAAAATCGGAAATCATAAGAGTGATTTTCAATGAGACGAGGCTCGGGAAAAGGGGATGAAAGACGGTATGGCTGCAAACACCGGTTGCATATTCCAATCGGATATGCCTTTCGAGTTGCCTTGCCAAAATACGGCCTTTAAGTTCACCCATGGTCAACATAATGCAAAAGAGAAATAGGAAGACCCAAAATTTACTTGCATCCTACGACCATTAGGTTGTCTTCAACAGTAAGAATCTTTGGTCTTTGCAATTTTTAAAAAACACAGAAACATAGAAAAAATAACGATAGAAGGTAATTAAGGTATCTTTTTTAATAAATTATGTCAATTCGTTTTGAATTATCAAGAGTCGTATGTTATAAGAACATACCTGGGAAGAATTCTTAATGAGCAAATTAGATAATAATGTTCTGTTCTCAGAATCTTGCCACAACCTGTAAGATCAAGCATGAACATTTCTCATATCCATTGCCAATTACTGATTATTATGTAATTAGTAATCTTTGATTTAAGAGATGGGAAATGAAAACCCATCTACCACAACTATACTGAAGTAATTTATGTAAGTTCATACCAATCATCAAAGCCTTAAATTATGATTTCAGCTGACAAAAACAAAATTGCATACACATATTCAGAAAATAATATGATCATCTAAACTATCAGAAGTTAACAGAAGGTAAAAAAGATTGATTCTTGAATCATGATTCATAAGCTACAGTAATTTATATATAAACTTTCACATGTTTCAATCTATAAGTGAACCCTAAAACTTGAAACTGTGAAATAAGGAGATAAGATACACACCATATTTGCCAACATTCCATCGCAGTCAACAGCAAATCGAAATGCCAAATCAATTTAGGGCTTAATAAGAACAAAATTCAAGAATTATGAGTTCTAAGATACCTTAAAAGTAATATTGATGAAATGGCATTACATATATGAAACGAAGGTTGAAATCGGTTACATAGCGAGGATTATATTAGCAAAAGATGATCACATCAGACAAGTACATTAGCAAAAGATGTGCAGGATAAGAAAACAGGGGCATTTTGGTCTATTTGTGTCTTATGATCTGTGATTTTATGTTGATTTTTCTTGAGGCTAAAAATAATGCTAGACATGAAAGTATAAGATTGTGGCTTGGTTTTACATGGGATTGGCGCAGTAAAATTGGTAAAGGGCAATTTGGTCTTTTGTGGTTTAAAGAAGGATATTACTATTTTGATCAACTTAACATCTGATGGGAAGGTTTTTGTTGGAATAAGAAGATCAAAAGGAGAAGAAATAAAAGGCTTTTAAAGTGTTCTTGAATGTATAGGTTAATGATGTTGTAGCAAGGGTATTTCTGTTATTTTATAGTTTCAACTGCGATCCAAATTTGGTTTTCCTAATGATTCTTGATGTTAACGCTGCTTTCTATTGGAAATTGAAATAATTAGAAAAGTACAAAAATGTCATGAATTAAAAAAATACTGAAATTGTTTACAAACATTGGTAGTAGACTTGCCTTCTCGAAGAGGTGTTGGAGTAATTCCTCCAACAACTACATAATACCCATCTTGTCTTTCTTTGAGTTAATCGAAAACAGACCAACAAAACCTAAAAAATGCAAACACCCAAATCATTACACAACAAAATCTGGAATTTATACATACTTAAATCACTAAATCAGTCGTATAATATCTCGGTTGGAAAAGAGGTCCATTTATTATAGCCCTATTACAGCTCTTAAAGTATAAATTTGGAATAAAGTAATACATACATTTATAAAAATTTAATATATAAAGAGATTTTGAAAAGAATATTAAGTTTAATATCATAAATGTTATTTAACTAACTTAATTAAAAATATATATATAAATCATAATATATTACGTAACATAATTAATTAACCAATGACCGTTTATAAGATATTGTAAACATATGATTTAAGAAGGTAATAAATATATTCAACAGTACATGTTATATATTTTAACTTTATTTGTCGCAATTTATATGCTATTATAAAGAAAATGGCGATTTATCATTTAATTTTAATTTTCCCATGTTTATTCCAACTTTTGCAGTACTTCAATTGGCTAGCCCAACATTAACACTAAGCTTTGACTCACGACATATACCCTTCCCAAATTCAAGCTCAAATTGAGCAGTTCTATAAGGTGGTGCAAGCTTATTCTTCATAATCTTCACCAGAACTTGACTTCCTAATGTCTGTGTACAACACATAAATGACCATTTTACCCGTACATTCCAAAAAACAAATTTCACAACATTCATCAAATGGGACAAAGAAAGAAGAAGGGCAAATAGGTCACTTCAGAGGGTGCACCAGATCCAAAAGTAGCTAGCATTGACCTTACCTAAGTCAAATTTGAAAATTACTTGATTCAGACTATATTTTATCTCTAACAGGTAAAATTTATATACTTTTTGGTACCTGATTAATGAAGATCAAAATAGTTTGTGATGTAGATAATGAATGGCTTAATTTACGAAGTGCCTGACTCATAAGTCTACCTCGCATTGCCATGTGTGCATCACCCATTTCACCATCAACTTCACATTTAGGCACAAGGGCAGCAACCTGATGTTACATAACAAACCCATAAGTTTAAAAAAATATTCTTTTTTTGGGTAAAATTTGTATTTATAAAAATAGAGACCTTACTTACACTCTCTACCACAACAACATCAACTGAACCACTTCTGATAAGATTCTTCTTCGCACCAATTCTCCGTCTCCTTCCAGCTTTCTCCCTCTAATCCATGTTCGTCTTCTTCTCCCAAAAATATATTTGTGTCTTAGAGTCCAGATCCCTTTACCGCTTTTCAATCCGCCTGATAAAGTAAAAGAACGCCCATCGCTCCTCCAAGGCGTGTGCAATTGGTCATCGACAAACACAACTCTGATGAAACTGGAAGCAAATTGAGATAAGAAGAAAGAGGCGAGGTCAAAGGCGGTGAAGATGAAAACATGGGTGTCAAAAAAACAAAAGGTAGAGTTAACAACTTGGACTTTGGGTTAATAGAATAGGTTGATGGAGAAGCTGAAAGAACTTTCAAAACCTGTAAAATGAGTCAAAGGGTAAAAGGGTCATATTCATATACATCCCTGACTCACAAGCCAACCAAATACACGTTGAATATAATCACAATCAATAAAAGATAATAAATACAAATGAGAAATCACAAATTCAAATTCCTACCTCCATGAGATTAATTCAACATCTCATCATTCTGTATAAAAATCAAAAAGGGAAAATGGTGAGTAACTAAAAGAATACTATAATCGACTGAAATATGTCAAACTTACCTCCCATCCCATAACATTGAAAATCAAGAACCTACTTACATCTGCTAAATGGAGCGTTATTAGTTGAAACATTTCATCAAACAGGTCGTAGGCATGATCAAAACTCCACAGTAGGGCAAAATAGACCATCAATTTCGCCTCTATTGAACAATTACTTGCCTCAATCGCACACCGACTGTTATGTTGGTTCCATGATTTTCTTCAATAGGAATTAAAATTGTCGAAAACCTCCACATTATAATACTTGTTACCTGGGCAATGGTGGTCGAGATAACCCTATGATTGAAAGAGACACAAAGTTATTTCCATTCAAGGTTTTTATCTTCTACTTAGCCACTGCGTCCTCGATCCATAAATGTAATAAAAAAACATTATTTAACCCGAAATTAATTGGCTCTTATTGAGAAAAAAAGACAAAAAAGAAAGAATATGATAGAATAGGGTTATTACATTAAAAGCTTCAAAAAAAGCCAATGGAGATGCAGAAGTGAAGAACCAGAAGAGGCGAGCTCCATCAGTTGGTCAGTCGCCATTGCTGCCCTCCGGCCACACCATCGTCTTTTAACTTACAACCTGCATAATCTGGAACGCCACTAAATGGTGGGAAAAGTGGGATAAGAAGGAAGAGAAGACTATGTACCCTAGAAATCAGGGGGAAATCAAACCAACCTGCTCCAAAAGTACAGACAAACACGAACAAAGAAACACCAGAAATTTGAAAATCGGAAATCATAACAGTGATTTTCAATGAGACGCGGCTCAGAAAAAGGGGATGAAAGACGGTATGGCTGCAAACATCGGTTGCATATTCCAATCGGATATGCCTTCCGAGTTGACTTGCCAAAATACGGCCTTCAAGTTCACCCATGGTTGCCGGTGCAAACTGTTTTCACAAACAAATTTCATCATCGCCTCCATCTTTGTAAAGAACAATCAAAATCGGAACCCATCAAAGCAATTATCTACCGTTGGTCTAAGCGGAGGTGAAGCAGCAGAGCCAAGAAGAAAGGAGGGCAGGGTTATCGACTGATATCCAAGAAAGGAAGCTTCAGAATGAGAATAGATCTAATCACAGGAGAAAGATAATGAATGATGTCCATGGCAGTGCAACATCTGATTGGGTGGAAGAGGCGGTGGTGGGAAAAGTGGGATAAGAAGGAAGAGAAGAATAAGATCTACTGTGGCGTTTGAAAGAGAAGAAGAACTTTGGTGGAAAAACATGAAATAAGAAGGAAGAGAAGAATAAGATCTACTGTGGCGTTTGAAAGAGAAGAAGAACTTCGGTGGCAAAACATGAAAGAGAAAGAAGCATACTGTTCCCCAACTTTTTAAGTTTTTATGTTATATATAATAAACAAATTCTATTATATTATATAATAGATTAATTATAGGTTCCCTTAGTAACAGTAAAGTTCCTAAGGGTTTGACATAATTGGTCCTTCTATTTTGCCTATTAACCATTTTGGATTTTTTTTAACTAAAGGGTTTGACATAATTGGTCCTTCTATTTTGCCTATTAACCATTTTGGAATTTCTTTTTTTCGTTTTTTTTAAACTAAATAAAGTTCAATACATATCGATGGAATGACCCGGTTTTTTCTTGAAGTTGCAATTTCGTCCTTTTTTATGTTATTTGTATTGGGTCGGTCATTCCTTCTCGATCCTTCTGCACCGCCATTCTTTTCTGATCCATTTGCTCATTCCACCGCTTTGAACCTACTCCACGTCCGTTCAGGTCCAGAGCTACCATCTACGTAGTGTTTTTTCCTCTGAGCTTCTATTGCCCACGCAGGAGATAACACTAGAGGTGGCAATCGTGTCGTGTCGTGTCGGGTTCGTGTCGTGTCGAAACACTAAACGGGTTGAAAGTGCTTGACCCTGACCCGACCCATTTAATTAACGTGTCGTTTCGTGTCAACCCGTTTATTTTCATGTCGAGTTCGTGTCGGGTTTCGGGTTAGGGCTATACCTTGAAATATGTCGCGTGATGTGAGGTTAAAAGATTGAGCATGTTGAAAGAGTAGGAGTTTGGTAGGCGGAAATGACAACTAATTGTTTTGAGGCAGAATAGATGAAGCCATAGCAAGTTTAGATGACAAAATTAAAAGAGTGGGAGTTGGAGAGGCGGATGACAAGGTCATGAGGATGTGAGAATGGTGAAAGAGACTGGGTAGTTTGGGAGAGAATGAAAAAACTGAAATGAAATCTTGATCTAGACGGCTAAGTCATTTCAACATTACAAAACAATTCAATTTGAAGGTTTTCTTTTACTTATGCTTTTGGTTTTGTATCTTTCTAGTTTATTTAAATAATTCAAAAAACTTGCATCTAAATAAACGGGTCATTTTCGAGTCATATTCGAGTTGAAATTCTCAACCCTAACCTTACCCATTTAATTTTCGTGTTGTGTCGTGTCAACCCGTTTATTTAAACGGGTTGAAATATCTTACCCAAACCCGTTTATTTCGTGTCGGGTTCGTGTCGGGTTTCGTGTCGTGTCAATTTTTGCCACCTCTAGATAACACCAACAATATGTTAGCGATTGAATCGTCTCTCTGCTGCCACCATCAGCATCTGCCGCCTCCATCTATCTATCAACATCACCTAATTATATTGGTTACGAATTAGACCCTAAGAACTTGAAGGGGGCGCGGTGTTCACTGTGGCTTCACATGCCACGTAGGTTGAAAACGCACTCCACTCCCTTTGGTCTCAGCCCTTTTGACTACTACGTAAGTGCGTTTGTAGTTACTTTAAGGCATAAAAAATAACCTTATTTCGTAATATTGGAATATTGGATTAGTCGGTATGCGAAAGTTGGTTTCGAAATCCACGTTAGGGAAGTTCACTTTACAAAAATAAAAATTAAAAAAATAATCAATTTAGAGTATTATTTTGTGTATTATTTTGCCGTTAAAAATATAACATTTAAGGAATTGATAACTGGTCCCTTTTCTAAAAACTTGCTAATCCAACCCCTTTAATTCTTTAGCCATTTTGACACTTTTGGTCCTTACAGTGAAATTTTTTACATTTTTTCATAAAAAACACAAAAAACGGCCCAGAGCGAAGCCTGGGTTTTTCCGCTAGTTGTAATTAAAATCCTACGAAATTTATTAACTTATTTAATATAATTAATAAATTAATTAGTAGCCTAGAAAAATAAATTAAATACTAGGGGCAATTACTAATCTAGCCAAATTAAGGAAGTGATTAGCAATTTTTAGCCAAAAATTAGTAAATGTCCAAATATAGCACACGAAACCGTAGGTTTTCTATATTCGACTACTGTTTTGCCAATTCGTCTATTGTTTTGGGGCTTAATCTACTGTTTTGTCAAAAAAGCTACGGTTTTATTTATTTATTTATTTGTGATATAGAGTATTAAAAAGAGTGTTTATAAGATGTAGAATTATTTTAACAATTATTTTATTAAAAATTTTTTGAGAATTCAAAACAGTAGACTTAAAAAAAACCGTATTTTTTTTTCCCAAAACTGTAAGCTACGGTTTGAGAAACCGTAGCTAAAACGAGAGGAAACCGTAGGTTTTAAAAAACCTAAGGTTTTGTAGCTTAGAAATGAAAAAAAATTTATACAAAACACGAAACAGTAGACGAATTGGCGAAACAGTAGATGAATTACCACAAAAGAGTAGTCAACGCCCGTTGACCGTAGTCAACTGCTGTTGACCGTAGTCAACTATAGGTTGACTACTCTTTTGTGGGCTATTTTTTGCTAAGAGATTTTTTTAGCTATTATTTGATAAATAATTAGCAATTATGGCTAGATTTGTATTTTTCCCTAAATACTATTCATTATATTGTTATATATAATAAAAAGAAACCCATGTCTGAATGAATAATATGTTTTTGTCTTTTAGACTTTTGTCACAATAGTTTTGGTTTTTAGATTTTTGCCGAAATAGTTTGGTATATTGATAAGTTTGGTCATAATATAGAAAATAAATTATAAAATTTGTCATTGTAATTTACAAAAAAGTTATTTGTCCACTTTTTTATGTTTAGGTTTCAGATTTTGGTCATAATACTTTTGTATATTGGCTGGTTTGATCCTTATATAGAAAAATAAATTACAAAAGTTGTTCATGTAATTTACGAAAAAGGTCCACATGTATTTTTTTTATAGAAATAGTCTAGGTAATTTACAGAAAAAAAAAATCCATATACATAATTTTTGTTTACAGGAAATGGTCCATATGTTTACAAAATTAGAAATTTATTCGTTGCTGTGACAACCCGGAAACTTCAATCCTATACACTTTTGTCAATTCAATCAATATTCAACTTGTTTTGTCGATTTCTGGTGATATTCAAGGGTTCATTTAAGTGTTCTAAGCTTGAATTTGACCAAGGTTGAGTTTAGGAATGAGTCAGCATGTCCCATAGTGATAAAACCGGGCCATATACCCCTCTTGGAGGAGTGTACGACCGTACACATGGGTGTGCGGCCGCACACCCACTCCCTTGGCAGCACACTCACTTTTGGGCAGCACTCTCACCCCTATATAAAGGGTAGACTCCTTTCCTTTCATTCCTTTGACACCTTGGCAGCACACAACACATTTCCTCTCAAGTTTCTTGAACCGCAAACTCTTCAAAGTTTCAAGAACGTGAGTAATTCATCCTCTAACTTGATAACCAT